CGGTGATAGTGGGCGGGAGTTTCAGGACATTGAGATAGAAGTCCCGGAAGGCGTATCCGTGAACGTTGGAGGCGTTGCACTGGAAGACAGAAGTGTCCACAGTCTCTATCAGATCAGTTACGGTCAGAACAGATCCTTCAACTTTGCGCCGGTTATTGGTCGGTGCCTTCTCTATGGGCACTCCGTTCACAAACCATTGCAACTTAGGCTCAGGAATGCCCGAAGCAATGCATTTAAACGATACGGTCTCCCCTTCGGCTGCGTTCGTGTCATTGGGGTATTCAATCCAAAAGGGGGCGGCATTTACTTTCACTTCCATTGCGTGAGTCCTTTGACTACCGATGCCGTTACTGGCCGTACATTCGTAGACTCCTATTGGAGAGACAATTATTAAATAAATAAATTATAACAAATTACAAACTAAACAAACCTTCGTCAGAAAAATCCACTTTATTTATAACTAAAGTCTTTCCATAGTTATTGTACGTGAAGTGCGAGCCCTCTATTTTACTGCCCCTTTTACTCCACGTGATATCGGGAAGGGGTGTCCCGCCGTAAATGCAATGCAATTCGAGTTTCTGGTCTTTGAGCGCAGGCACTGATGGCGGGGATGTGTATTGCATTAAAGGCGGGTGACTGGGGACAGGACTTCATGGTCTGCGGAGCTGGAACTCCAAGCAGAATGGCGGGTGAAACATGAGGCAGGACTTCTGGCTTCACCGTCTTGTCCGCATGAAGCGCAGCAGCTTGTACAGGACAGCGCAGTGGTTTGAGAAGTGGAGCCTTCCCTCCGGGTCGACAGTTAGTCGCGAACTGTTAATACTCCTGAGGGCACCGGTATTGGACAATATGATCCAAAAAATGGATGGCTTGGGATAACCGGTGGGAGGGTTGCAGTCGATAGTGCGGGGCTCGCCTTCGTTGACATAGACGTCCTGAACCTCTTCATCGGCGAATGAATTGAGTTCTGATTTGCGGAGAAAGACGGCGTTGGAGACGGCTGTGCCGTGTTTGTTCTCAGCGAAACACTGGTACAGCCCCTCATCCACACTGTCTGGTTTGGTGAACACCAGTGTCCCTCTGCGTGGCTGTTGATTGATTCGCTTATCATAGGCCACATAATTGAATTCTAAGCCATTTTTGATCCATCGGTAAGTGGGCTCTGGATCTCCTTTGGCTTCGCACTCGAGCACAAAGGGTCGGTCGGCCTCATCGCTCGACTGCGAGACCTGATATAGTTGTTCATATGGGGGCTGTTTGATGATAGATGGGGGCGATTGAACACATTGGATACCATTCAATAAACTTAATACTAGTACTAAAATCGTGTAAATTGTATGCATTTTGCTATGTTTTAATGTAAAAGTCGCTTTTGCCATCAAATATATCATAATTTGTATAAATCTATAAAAAATAGACAAAACACACATTAAATAAATTATTATATCATAATCACATGAATATGAATGCATTAATATTTTTAAAATGTTTACATTAGACACAACACGACTGCAATAACTATTAAAATTCTTATACAATGTGCGGAGGGTTGAGATGAGGATGTTTTACATCATTAATATTGTTATATAAATATAACGACAATTATGTAGACTATAGACAATTGACTGAATTTAATGAAATGAATTAACGCTGAAGTGAATGATGGATATAACGTTAATCTAATCATTTGCTGTCACTATAATAATAATGCCATAAATTCTGTTATGAGAGACGATAAGAGTTTGGCATTAAATTCTTATAACCAAATCCAAAACAAATAATTATTTTAACCGTTAGCTTAATCTTATTGAGATAAAAACCGCATTTCAATTAAAAGAGTGTATTAATTTGAGTGCAAAATAATGCCACAAATAACTAGATTTAGATAAACAAGTTTTGGGCTATAATTTCCGATTCAATTATAGCGCCGACTCTAAAGACAATGACATTTGACTTCATACTCCGGTATTAAAATGATGGGAAAGTTTTGACATTAAGTCTATAGAAAACAAAATATTTTTAAAAGTCCATTAGTGCCCAAATGTGATACAATTTGCTGATTCATTAGTTAAACACTGTTAGCATATTAAAGTCAATAACATATCCTATTATGCAAAGTCTAACAAATATTGTAGAGTTTAATGCAATTCTAAACATCAGACAATTTATAATGAATTAAAAAATGAACACAAATAACATTTGTGTTATTCAATTGATACGGAACTGCATATCATATCATAGCCTATCATACAAAATATACAGTGGTTAGAGAATAGAGAAGTGAACGCAAAGTATCTAAAAATATCTCTCTTTTGACAAAAAGGATCGTTTCAAACGATTATTACATGTATTACTATCCGTACGGAAGCGTTTCAATTGAAATACAAGGTTAGAGTCAGAGCTTAAGAGTTTTTATTTTGTAAACTTGAATGCATTAAATAAATTGTAAAAATAAAAATATATTATAAATAATAAAAAGTTGTGTTGAGTTTGAGTGCATCTCTAAGTGACAGCAACGCTGAAGTGAACGCAAAGAGATGCAAAAAAGTGAGTTATTTTATTACACTATAATCGTTCGGATATATGAAAAGCTTTTAACAATCAAATACTCTTTGGATGCCTAAAGCCATCGCTATTTGTATTTGATAGAGGATTGGGAGGAATGGCAGCAGCGATGGTGTGGACTCTGTAGAGGAAGTTTGCTTGAGATTGCAATGCATTCCGATGGGTATTAGAGCACACCTGCCATAACAACATTCACTTCATTACCACCACTGCTTACATAACATGTAATACTGTAATAACTGACCCAACGAGTGATTACACTATTATTGCAATATCGCATTCATTCACTATTACACTAATACACAGCATATTGCCATTACTCTGTAATTATCTCATCTAATCATGTGTGGGCTCTGTTTGGACACAATTCAACACTAAACCCAAACCTCCCCTTCAATCAAATCAATCCAATTTACACATTGTTTTCATTGTTTCTCTAATTGTTTTTCATTTAAGGAATGAATGCTTTTTAACACTTTATTTATGGCTTTATTTCATATTCAGATGTATGCAAAGCAATCGCTATTAACCTTAAACTTAAAATTAATATCTGATTTGAATTTCAAGTTTCAAAAGACTTGTAAATGAATGCAAACATAACTTAAGAAAACAAATAAAATATGATTAAAGAGATTGAGTTTTATCTCATTTATCTAATGTTATCTCATTTATTACATAAAGGTTTTATCATTTCCTTAAATAATGCCATAAATTATAAGTTTTAGATCTTAAACATCACTGAAATATTCATTAATGCTTACGACTTGTATTCAAATCAATATATCGTATAATTGAAGCCTTCACTGCATACTAATGGTTGGGTTCATAGGTTTAGATTGAAGTGAATTATTGTGTGAATCGCATGACATGTCCACCGAAGACGAGTCAGTGACCACTCAATGGCAGACATATCACCACATCTTGGTCTGAGTGGTGCACTCATCGCATGAAACAGATCGCGTGTTTGGCGACAACTATAGCCTATATAATAGGTATATATCTATCGGTCTGTCATTATTGTCTGCAAATAGTCGCTGGGCTGACAGTCGCCGATGACTCACACGTGAACACAGGCTTTGCACACATAGTCTACCTGTCATTACAGGCAATATATAATCCTTTTATTACATCACGTAATCTAAGGCATAGACTCACCAGAGGCTAAACAACGCCCAAAAATAGCTAACACTGAACATACACTTAACATAGGCTCACGGCTTACCGCTAATACTCTCCACCAATTCACTCATTATTGCCACACAATTCATATTTGAACACATCATACAAAACTAATCCATTTATATAGCAATATAAAAATAGTTCATAACATACAAAACATGTTTAAAAGCGATAGTTATATAATTAGTAAAATAAATGCACTTTCAAGCAATGCTTACCCATTAATAAAGTGTCAATTGTTTATGAAAATGCAAACAAATCTAGTGGTGAGCGATGAGCACATATACAGTGAACCAATGGTCACATGTAGTCAACGGTGTGTTGTGTGAAGTGATGATTCATATGATGACCACTTCTGGCGTAATATCTGTCACACATTCAACAGACAGTCAGTCAGAGTCTCTCACATCACAGTTAACGGCATTTTGAATGCAAACCAATGCAGCGCTCAATGCATACAAACACAGCAAACCATACACTCAGCAAAATGTGCACAATATCTGCAGTGCTCTCAGAGGCGCACCTCTTCTCACACTCTCATCACTTCATACATACACTACGACCACAACACACACATCCCTGTCCTCTACTCCATGCACTGTTAGGCATACAAAGCCAACACTGACTGTCACTCCCTTTCGCACGTATGTAATGTACTCGTGGTTAGAGTCCGCACCCGAATCTGACAGAGCATTGCAATTGACTTTTAATTGACGCAAAACTTATTCCCTATTTTGCACACAATATTCAATTCAATGAGAAAGTGATTCACATTCTGGTGGCAAACCTATTGTCAAACACTTCTATTAATATCCATTCAATTGATTGAATTACACATTATTTATTGCATTCAAACATCTGAATGAATGAACACGTGATTCAACACTGAATCCAACGCTTGTAAACAAACCCACGATTGTTCGCAATTGACCGTTGATTTGATGCCAAAGAGTCATCACTGATCCATAGGAGACATGAATATCAGATGCGCTAAAGTAAGTGATGACTGATTGTCATTGATTGTCTACTATACCATGATGTCTGCCTGTATGTCAGCCATGTGATCTGATGAATATGCAACACTGCAACCTGTTGTGTCTGCCGGAGAACTATCAGATGAAGTACTACTTCTATCACGGCTTGTCGTGGCCTCAGCTCTCATACGTTGCCGAAGACGAGAGCGGATCCATTGTTGGCTACGTGTTGGCGAAGATGGAGGAGGACTCGGATGACGACCCTCACGGACACATCACGTCACTGGCGGTGAAGCGGTCGCACCGGCGGCTCGGGTTGGCTCAGAAGCTGATGGACCAGTCNTCTGGTTCAGCTAATGTGACAATCGGTTGAATACTAATGGTTTTTGTGGCCATTTGTGTGTATACTTGACGCCAGTCCGCACTCTCCATAAAGACTTCTTTACGTTTGCCTTCTTTCTCGCTTTTTATCATTTCTTTTATTGAATTCAAATCCATTTTATTTTCATTCAGTTCTACAATTTCTTCCTCATCTATAGATCTGTTATTATTATTGTTTTGATAATTTGAAAAACAGCCACAAAATAGACTTTTAATGTTTTCGATACTTCTTTTTCTCTCTCTATTTTCTTTTGATTCAACCTTTTGTTTAAACACTGGATTCAATTCAAAATCTTTAAATTCCGGGAAAAACTGCTCATAAGAAATAACAGTCTTATTGTCCAAATTTGTTGAAATAGATTGACTGTCATTGGATTCATTGTCTGAATCGCTTTCGTCTAAAGAATCGTAATTTTCATCGATATTACACTCATTTCCATTGGAATTCTCAACAGATTCTGGTTTATAATTGAGTTCTCCATTGAGTGGGATATTAAATATGTTTGGATTAAAGTGCGAGTCCAGTGGCAAAGGGAGTGGATCTAACAGTCTTTGAATAACGAGACTCGATAATCTAAACAATCTATTCAAATGTTGCATCTTTGTTGTTTGCATTTTATTATCGGCAAGAGTTTGCATAAAAGATAAAACTTTTTTATCAACGCATAGATGTATCAACTGTTCCCTACCGGCCCTCACGTATGACAAGTGCAGGAATATTGACAGAAGATTATAAGAATAACGCATTGTTTTGTGAATTTTGAGAATATTCTTGTTTGAATCACTTTTAGTATCAATCATAAGGAGAGAGCAATCATCAAAGAGTTTGATCACAGATGACATATAGTACGAGGGATTTGTGAGTAATTCAGAGATTCCTTCCTCTAAAATAATATTTGTCTCTTTTCTCAAAATAGACTTCTAAATAACTTAATACCTTTAATTAAATACTTAAAACCAGTGAATTTCATTACATTTAAATGAACGCACATCCGCTAATATAATATTATCATATAATGTATAAAAGTTTTATGTATTCTCATAATCCGATTAGTGATGGCTTAGAATCGGCGAAATCATAAATAAATGACCAGTTTTTATGTAATGCAAAGTAATTAATCAAGTTGTTTAATATTAATGACATATCATAGTTTGTGATTAATTTGAACTCTCATTAAATGCAGAATAATTTATATACTTATGGAAACACTTATATACAGTACAACTAGAAATAACTAAATAATATAAAGAATAGTGAATGTGTTGTGTTTGATGACATATTTTCTCAATAACTAAACAAATGAATGGCTAAACGACAGGTCACTTACCAGTGGTAGACCTGAATTGAAGTCTGACTTAATAACCAAAGAATAGCTTCCAATATATTTGTAACTCTCGTTCAAAATGACTTTATGTTAAGATTGCATTCAATCTGAACCTTTCTTTTTTATATCATCTTTCGGTCATTTATTGCGATACTCTTTATTGATATACAGTAGTGTTGTGTCGATACTAAAGCCACTGAGACAGTCGCCCACAAAAAGCAATTTTCAGATTTTCCTTATAAGTTATAAGAAATGGCATAAATTAATAACGAAATGACATTTTTATGAATAACCAAAAAACAGTTTAATTTGTTTTCATACTCTATTTAAAGCTATTAAACTGTTTGGCCTATAGTTCTGACATAAGAGTAATGGATTTCAAGACTAACAGCGACTGGTTTTACTGATATTCTGGATATTTTCGATGCAATGTATACCTCTAACAATCTTTACGAGTCATCAGCTTTTGGACAATGATATAAGAGAGACATTTGGGTTAAGACATAGTAATATTCATAGAAAGGATGCCATAAAGTGTTTATAAAGAGTAACTAACGGTTAGGTCGACCTCTCACTCAAGAACACACTTCTTGTTTACTCTTATATTTGTTTATAAGTTCTGCTATTTTGGGATAATAGCAGTTCATACTTGAGTTGACGGGTAAATATCACATCAAATTATATTAATAAAATTAAAAACCAAAAACTAAAATAATAAATTTTTAGAAATGCTTAATGTATTAAATAAAAGAGAAAGTCATAAAACAAATCCATTCATTGGAAAAGTAATCGCAAAGTATTTGTCAAAAGACATTTCAAATTAAGTGAAATGTTTGTCAGAAATAATTTTTACTTCAAATTAATTCTCTATTTTTGTTGAAAACAATGCTTTCTTAAAAACAGCAATAAATTATATGTCATCAAATGTTATACAAAATAATATTAAACAATAAAACAAATTCTTATTGAATGAATGCTAAGAAAACAAATAAAATTTGAGATCATTTATAATCGTTTAGAAATTCAATAATGAATTCAAACTCAATCTTAACAAGTTTTTCAGAGAATTTGTTCATAAATTTTCACACATAATGTTATTTTTGGGAATAAGATTCTTGAGCTAAAAACTCAAGTTTAGACCTCGACTCAAATGCTATTTTTTATTAACTCTCCGTTTCTTTCTTTCTATAATACTTTTTTAAAAGAAGAAAGAGATAAATAAAAAACTTTTTTAGAGTAAATAACATTATAATGTACACATAAAAGTCTTGTTCTTTATAAAATTATTACAAAAATCATTTTGTATCTAAAAATACATATTTGTGTTCACATATTCACAACAAAAACCAACATTCATATTGTGTTAATCAGCAACAGTTAGAAATTAAACCTTAAAACTTTTATAATATCTTCTTGAAAAATTTTATTAGAGAAAATATAAAAACAAATCAATAAAATTTAAATAAAGTAAATATAGTTTAAGTCTTTAATGAGATTAAAAGCAAATTAGTTAAGGTCTTGAGGTTGTATTTTTAATTTTTGACTTAAAGTTAATAAAAACAAATTATTTATATCCTGCGTGTTACTATTAAGTTTTTTAAAATGACTTGTTAATAACGTAGATTTTAATATAAATTTATATTTATTGAATTTCAATTAAATTCTCTCTGCGGGATAGGCTCCCATTATATTACATGTTTATTAAAGACTGAAAAATTACTTTTACTTCAATATTGGGATTTAAAAAAGGAAATTTTATTTTCAGGTCAAAAATGTAATGCAAAGAATGTGAAATAACTAGAATACAATATAAATAATGTACAGTCTAATATAACTGTGTAGTATAAAGTGTCAGGTACTATACAGTATACAGTACAGTGGATGATAATATACTGTACAGTACAGTACATAGAATAGTTTCTACTTTTTGCAGTATATTGTTGTATAGTATATTATATTCAATTTATATGAGTTTTTTATATAAATAATTACTCTTAATTAAGAGAAAAAGAAACAATAATTTTGTTGAATCGATAAAAGTAGTGCTCACATTAACACAACTGTTTTTATAATAAGTTACTGCACTCTATATTCCGATTCTGTTCATAATTAGTAAAAGTCTATTACTAAGAATTTATTGTTTTTAAATTTCATTTTTATTTTCATTTTAATGTGATTTTTTCAAACCACCAGTTGTTTCATTAAATTGCATTGAGTTTAATGTTAGCAAATGAATTTGCAGTTGAATTATATTACGTTCATATGAAATTACAATTTGCATCACAAATATAACAAATATTGTTTTGAAAATTGAATTTAATTTTGACTGACAGACTAACAACGAATATAACATTAACTCAATTCTTAGACTAATTCCACTACACTTTCAAATTAAATAAAATAATGTTAAAGAATATTATAATAAAAAGTATGAATAATGAAAAGACAATACCTGTGAACAGGGATACAGCGATGCGTTGGTGACTGTGTTTGCGGTGAACTAAACAATTAGTGGTTATATAAAGTTTGTGTGAAGACAACAGACTGTGAGCGACCACTTCTGCCGATAAAACCATAATCTATGGCATAGAAAATGCTTTCAGTCTGTCGTATGATGTGTCCAATAAGGAAAGGCATTGGTATAGAGCATGACTGGCACTCAATCCCCACTAAACTAAAGCAGTTTTTGGAGTCGATGTCTGACTCGTATAGCGTTCAGCACTTCAATACATATTCACATTCTGTTGCATCACTTGTTCGGCACAGATATGAGTCTGCATTTTGAACACAGCTTTCCAAACATTATTACATCTTTTTTGCTGTTTTGCACAAAATATATATGTATTCCTGTATTCCGACAAACCTTTACTGTTGTTAATAAGTTATTGAAAAAGGAGTTTTTGTTGAATATATTCCTTACATTTTGTTATTATTCAAATCGATAGCACACACAAAATATATTCAAATTATATACACACGGAATACACAGAATATATATTGATATAAGAATAAAGTTTTTTACTTTAAACCAAAAACCCACCACATCTGTATGCTTTTGAATCTTTTGTATAAAATGTCTATAATTTTTAGGTAAATTTACAATATATTAAATATAAAGATTAGGTAAACAATATTTTCATTTATTTAAAATAAAATTTGTAAAATAATTCCGAAATAATTATTATGCAAATAAAGATTTATTCACTTTTTTCAATGTATTTAAAGAGTGGAAGAATTCGCACAAAAAGTTAACACAAATAATATTAAAACAAATTGTATTTATATTACACATGAGATTTGAATTACACTAATTTTGTACACTTTTCATTCCTCTAATGCATCAATAAATTCACTTTTCAATTATTTATTTAAAAAACCAAAATCAATTTGCATATAGCATTCCCAAATCCAATATAAGACTATTTGTTTTCCTCTATATTTAATTTATATTAAATTTCTTTAAAATAAACTCAAGTTTTCGCATATTATTTAAATGGCAAAATGAGTTGAATTGGTTGCGGAGTTTTTGTCGACACAACAGTTATATGTAAACCCTTTTGATGGTCTCAACAGTTCAATGATCGATGATTTAGATGATTGTCTCACAGAATATAAAAGACATTCGCTTTGAAATCGAGTTATTTGAAGCGAATATTACTGATTAAAG